CAGCTGAGCTTTCAGACTAAGCTAGACTAGGAAGAAGGAGAGGCAGATTACTTCTGAATGCTAAGCCACTGAAAACGTTATGAAAAATAGTGGAACACTGTCAGCGCCAGAATACTGAATATTGAAACATAATTAATAGTAACAGAATATTATCAGATATAAAGTCAGAAGATGAGCCCCTTGGATTGGAAGGCATTCAAAATATAACTGTGCCTCCTCGAAATAGAGTTGACCTTGATGACGTAAATGGAATAAAGCTTCCAGGAACTTCATTTGTTAAAGGGTCACAACTCAAAATGAGGAGAAACAGCTATAAACATACATCGATAATCAGAACATTATATGTATGAAATATGGATCTAGGAAAATTGTAAGTTGTCAATCATGAAGTACAATGCATGAAAATCAATATTCTAGGCATTAATTAATGAACTGAAATGGACTGGCATTGGCCATTTGACTTTGGCTTACTATGCCAGGAATGACAAATTGAAGAGGAATGGCTTTGCTCAAACTCATTATCAAAAAGAACATTTCAAAACAAACAGAGTATAATGCTGTCTGTGATAGGATAATAGTATAGTATAATGCTGTCTGTGATAGAATAACAGCCATACGCCTATAAGGAAAAGCAGTTAATACAACTACTATTTAAATTTATGCACAAACCACTAAAGCAGTGCTATAAGATAAGCACTGAACTACAAATCACAAATTCAGTGGTTCAAACCCACCAGCCGCTCCTTGGAAATCCTATACAGGGTTGTTGGCACTGTGGTCAGTTTGAACCACAAGGTTGGTGATTCAGGCTGAAGCTGAAGAAAACTAAAACAAGTTCACAAAAGCTAAAGTATGACCTTGAACAAATCCCACCTGAATGTAGAGACCATCTCAAGAACTGATATCCATGCATTAGACATAAAAGACCAAAAATCAGAAGAGTTGTGGGATGACATCAAGAAAATAATACAGGAAGAAAGCAAAAGGTCATTAAGAAACCAAGAAAGAAACAAAAGTCCAAAATGGAGTGTCAGAAGACACTCTGAAATTTGCTATCCAGTGTAGAGCTGCTAAACCAATTGTAAGTAATGAGAAGGTGAAAAAGCTGAATAGAAAATCTCTAAGGTCAGCTCGAAAAGACAAAGTCAAATATTATAACGAACTGTGCAAAGATCTGGGGTAAGGAAAACAAAAGGGAAGAACATGCTCAGTATTTTTTAAGCTGAGCGAACTGAAGGAAGAATTGAAGCCTCAATTTGAAATAATGAAGGAATCTCTGGGAAAAATATTGAATGATGCAGAAAGCATCAAAAGAAGATGGACAGAATACAGAGAGTCACTCACCAAAAAGAAACTTTTGGTGTTCAACCATTGCAAGAGGTAGCATATGATGAAGAGTCAATGATACTGAAGGACGAAATCCAAGGTACACTGAAGTTATTAACAAAGAACAAGGCACCAGGAACAGATAGAATACAAAGCGACGTTCCCTTGGAACGTTGAAGTCTTGCTCCATTGTCTTCTGCTGTTTTTCAGCACCATCAAGTCAGTTCCAACTCATGGTGACTTACATACAACAGAACAAAACACTGCCCATTCCTGTGCTATCTTCATAATCTGAGCCCACTGTTGCAGTCACTGTGTCAATCCATCTCCTGAGGGTGTTTCTCTTTTTCACTGACCTTCTACTTTACCAAGGATGGTGTCCTTTTCCAAGGACTATTCCTTCCTGATGACATGTCCAAAGTATATGAGACAGTCTCGCCATCCTTGCTACTAAAGAGCACTCTGGGTATACTTCTTCCTGCTCCGAGTTCCCTGCAAAGATTCTCAGCTATCTCAGGTTCTGTGCCGACATCCACAGGAGAAGCCTTTCCCAGGAAAATCTTCTACTCTGTGTTTTGAGTACTTCCTTTATCTCTCCCAGTTACCATGGAGTTGATTCCAATTTATGCCAATCCCTTATGTGCCGGGATAGAACATTCTCCAATAGGGTTATTAGTGGTGGTTTTCAGAAGTAGATATACAGGTCTTTCTTCTGGGCAGCTATGAATGGACTTGAACCTCCAACTTTTCAGTTAGCAGTTGAGCAAGTCAACTACTTGCACCACCCAGAGAAACCCTTTTGACTCCAAGAGGGAGCAAGTGCTATATAGCCAGCTACTCCCAAGACCTGGGAAGTGGGGAGAATGAAGGACATTTGACAAATGTCTTCTGTTTGAGCTGTGGGGGTCGTAAATGTCTCCTACTTCCTTGATACTCTGAATTCAATCGCAAGTTCCACTCCAGACCTGCCGAATCTCTATGCACATTTTAACAAGAGTCCTTGGTGACTCAGATGTACATTAAATTCTGAACAACATTGACTCCTTAGCTGTCCTTGTCCCTACCACCATCCACTCCTGTTTTCCATGTATAATGCTCCAAGCTTGGAACTTCCCTAGAGTTCTGCCAGGAACTCAGTCTGCTGTGAATGCTGCAGACTGTCCTTCAATATGATCTACCTTCCTGCTTTGGGTGTATAAACATCTGACTTATGATATAACATAGGACCATGTAACCAACACCTAACAGAGATACAAGACTTACAAATACAACTGAAACTGGTAGCATTTTCACCATCAGCCTGGCAGGGGTTGTGGCAGCCTCTAGTCATGTTTGCATTCATGGTACATACAGGCTTAGACTCTCTCTTACTTTCCACGGGCTGCTGTAGCAGAAATATCACAGGTGGGTAACTTTAAAGAACAAACATTTATTTTCTCATAGTTTTAGAAGTTAAAAAAATCCAAATCAGGGCCTCAGCCCCTGTCCATTTCCTCCTCCTAAGTAGTTCCTTGACTTGTTGACAATCCTCATATGACATCTATCTTTGCTGTGTGTGCCAGTGTTTTTGTCGAATCTGCTCTTTTCATAACTCAGAGGTGATTAGGTTTGACTCCCAGCCGAACACAAAGAAAATCCAGTTTCTAAACAGGATTTCATCCACAGAGACAGATAGGGGTTGGTTAGGATCCCACCACATTTTTTAGTAGGACACAATTTAATCCACACCAGACTAACATTTTTGCCCATAGCTGCCGTGGGGAGCTGAGACAGCATGGGTTGGCTGAAAGGTGTATAAGATCCTGGAAGTACATTTGCATGGACTGGAATCCATTTGTCCAACTGGGAGTGCTAGAACACGGTAGTCAACAGTTTTAATGACTGAGAACTGGGGGAGTATTTAGGTGGGGAGAACAGCATTTGGTCAAACATGCATTCTTAAGACTGCCTTCTGGAAATCCACACAGGCACGGAGACAGGCATGTGGTGCACAGAATGCCCGTCGGTGGGAAGCAGGCCCTTCGACAAGGCAGAAATTAGAGCAGGACAAGAACTGATAGGGGCAGGTCTAGCTCTAAGACCTACTGAGAAGAATTTTGAAGGCAGAAAACCTGTGTGGTAGGAGATGGGTAAGTCAGGAGTAGAGAGTAAATTCTGTTGCCAGAATTTGGAATCAAGTTATGGCTGAAGTCTCAGCAATAAAATGCAGCTGGGACCAGTAACAAGAATAAAGATGCAGATTCCTAGAGGCTGGACCTACTTCAGCTCTTCCTGCTGAAACTCAGAATGTGTCCAGGAATAAATTGATCAAAGTTACGTGTCTCAGCAAGAGAAGGAGGGAGGTGAGTTAAGAAGGGAGGGAAGGTAGAAACTAGGAATCAGATATGACCTGAAATTATCACTTGATCTCAAAGTGACTCCTTTTCATCAACATTTATGAACAAGCTGACATATCAGAAATCCTAAGTAAAATTACAAAGCTTGCTCTGCCCCTCCACCATACACGCCGTTCAAAAAATAACCCCAGAGCAGCAAGAAAGTCCTTCCCAAGAATTCAATTTGAGCACCTTCTATGTGCCAGGCACTATGCTGGTCACTGAGATTGCAGAGGGACTGACATACGGCCTTGACCTTCATTAATTTCTGTTTGGCCAGACAGTTAACCGTGTAGTCACATGGCTTCAGTCTGTGTGAGCAGTTGTGCTGGAGGAGTCCCTGGGCTGCTGTGGTCAATATGGTGGGGCCCTCATTTACAACTGAGGGGAGTCCGGAAGGTGAGGGAAAAGAGTGGCAAAACATGAGGGGAACATGAAGTGTTCCAGAAACCTCAAGGGCCTCACTACTTCTGGAGCACAATCAGAGTCTGAAAGTTGTGGGTTCAAATCCCACCTCTACTACATACCAATGTGAGATCTTGAATGTGTTACTTTATCTCTGTAAATGGAGGTTTTCTCCTTTGACCATTTGAGGGACAAAGAAAAATACAAGAGATAACTTTATTGCTTAGTATAATCTCCGTACTCATCTTTCTACCAAGTTGTGACTGGGGAATTTGAACTGCTGACCTTGAGGTTGGCAGCCCAATGTGTAATGGCCACCAGGGCTCCTATACTCCTAATAGGATAAGGATAAGGAAGAATTAAGGATAATTCAAGAAAAAGATACATACCATACGGAACCTGTTTAACATTTATTTATTTATTTTAGGATCAGTAAACTATAACCTCAAAAGCTACATACACTAAGAATTGGAATTGATTAGACTTAACACTAGAAACAGATCCAACTTTTTCTTCCTTTTCCCAGTTTCCATGAAAAATAGTAATCATTAATTGCTTTTGTAAAGGTCAGCTTATCTGGGCCTACCATATAAGCCTTCTCTGGCAAATTCAATGTCATGTTCATCACAGACATTTCCCACCCTCCTATGTAATAAGCTACAGTCAGCGATTGGTTAGCAATGGTAGTGGCTAATGGACAGGGAGACCCTCTGGACAACGTTCCCAAAGTAGGCAATTCCAGTGATTTTTTTTTTTTCTTTTTTTTTCTAAACCAGATACTTGCATATGAAACAAAACAAAACTACCTTTCCAAGAACTTAATCAAAATGATTTAAAAAGCAAAGCACAAACCTATGAAGATGAAAAATGGGTAGAAACTAAAGATTGCTTGGTTTCCTGTTCAAAAGTATTCCCTTCACTGGCTCCACACTGAAAAACAGGCAGCATCTCTAATGTAGTGGGTAAAAGTACTAACTACTGAGTATAAGCTAAAAATAACCTTCTACTGAATCAACACATGGCTGGGATTTATGCCTCATTCCCATTCACCACAATGGGGTAACTAATTATCTTCCACTGGGCGTTAACCATGAAGTGAGACATTAACCATAAAGTATTTCCACTGGCGAGGATCAGTGTTTAACAGTGATGGTTTTGATTTCAGTGAAGAAGTCATAAGAATCCTTGGCTCCTTCACGACCTATCCCAGAACTCTTCATCCCCCCAAACGGAAGGTTCAGCTCTCTGATGAGCCAGCAGTTAGTCCAGACCAAACCCGACTGAAGCTTCTTCGCCACCCGGTGGACACGCCCCACATTGCTGGACCACACGGTTGCTGCCAGGCCATATTTCACGTTGTTGGCTCTTTTAATCACTTCCTCTTCGCTATCAAAGGGGACAACACATGTCACAGGGCCAAATATCTCTTCCTTCATACAACAGGATTCGTCCTTAATGCCTGTTATCACCGTGGGAAGCATAAAGTAGCCAGCCTGGTTTCTAGGGGGGAGGCTCAACTTATCTACTCCCTCACCACACAGGATTTGGGCGCCTTCAGCACAAGCTTTCTTGACATAACTTCTGACCTGGATGGGTAAAAAAAAAAATGTAATTAGCAATATCTTGCTATTTGTGTTTCATACACATCAATATGTGCAAAGCATTCAATAATGTCTAACCATCTAGGTAAGATGCTGCTAAGAAATCCAACTTGAACCATCATCCCACTCAGCACCTAACCACCACTGGCATCCTGTCTTCATACTACTGACATTTGTTAGTAGTATGATAAGTGTTCTTCTTACACTGACTCAGGTCATTCTCGCAGAGTTTGTTACGGATTGAATTGTGTCCCCTAAAAAGATGTTGAAGTTCTAATTCCTGGTACCTACGAACAGGACCTTGTTTGGAAATCGGGTCTGTGGAGATGTTATCCATTACCATGAGGCCTCACTAAAGAAGGTGAATCCAAATCCTATCTGAGTGAACTCTTAGAGAAGAAACACAGAGAAACTGGTAGGAAGAACAGTCATGTGATGTTGTTTCTACAAGATATGGAATGCCTGGGACTACACAAAAGTGGGAGAGAAAAAAAAGATTTTTCCCGAGACCCTTCAGAGGCTCTGCCAACAGTGGCTTGGACTTCTAACCTCCCGACCTGACTGACAGTAAAGTTCTGATCTCACCAACCACCCAGTTTGTCATATTGCATTATGGCAACAAAATGAATATTATTATTCCTTAGGAGAACTTGAAGGAGTGCTGGTGGCACAGTGGTTAAGCACTTGGCTACTAACTGAAAGGCTAATACCCAACAACTACTCCATGAGAGAAAGCCTTGTCAATTCGCTCCCTTAAAGATTGTTGTCGAGTGCCATCGAATTGGGTCCTGCATAGGGTTTCTGAGGAGAGGCTGGTGAGCTTGAATTCTGTCCTTGCAATTCAAGCCAACTTTACAGTCCAGCACATTAACCCACAGTGCCACACCAGGATGCCCCTTGAAGATCACAGCCTGAGAATACCTATGAGGAGATGAGTTCTACTCTGTCCTATAGGATCACATGAGTGAGATGGACTCTAAGGCATACAATAACGGTAGATCCTCAGGAAGGAACCCAAGACGACCTAGGGTCACATAACTACTAAAGAGTCAAGCTAGGGTGCACACTCAGATATAATCTGAAGATAAAACTCAAAAGGATATTTTCTCATTTTTGGTGATACATCCATTGGAGAAAATGGGAAATAAATGATGTGTAAGATTTCAAAGGAAGACCATAGAAGAATTGATGCTTTTGAGTTATGGTGTTGGATGAGAATATTGAAAGTGCCATGGGCTGCCAAAAGAACCAATTGATCTGTGTTGGAAGAAGTGCAGCCAGAGTGCTCTTTGGAAGCCAGGATGGCCAAACTTCAGACATATTGTCAGGAGGGGCAAGTCGCTGGAGAAAGATTCAGAGAAAAAGAGGAAGATTCCCAGTGAGCTGGATTGGCAAAATGGTGGTAGCATCAATGGGCTCAAGTGTGGCAACAATTGTGAGGTTGGCCCAGGATCGAGAAGTGTTTCGTTCTGTTGTGTGTAAGGTTGCTCTGAGTCAGTACTGACTTGATGGCACCTAACAAAACAAGAAGATTTCATTACAGACCAGTTTGCAAAGCAAATAATTCTTAATTCTAATCTTATTACTAAGTATGCCTAGAAAATACACATAGGTAATACAGTTGTTGTTGTTGTTAAGTGCCGTCGAGTCAGTTCCGACCCATAGCGACCCTGTACAGGGTTTCCGAGGGTGTAAATCTTTACGGGAGTAGAAAGCCTCATCTTTCTCCCGCGGAGCGGCTGGTAGTTTCGAACTGCTGACCTTAAGGTTCGCAGCCCGATTCGTAACCACTACGCTACCAGAGCTCCTTAGGTAATACAGTATGCTGTTGTTATTCTTGCTGTTGTTGTTAGGAGCTGTTGAGTTGGTTCCAACTCATAGTGACCCTACGCACAACGGAAGGAAACAGCGCTCAGTCCTGCACCTTCCACACAATTGTTGTCATGCTTGAGCGCATTGCTGCTGCCACTGTGTCAATCCATCTCATTGGAGGTCTTCCTCTTTTTCACTGAATCTCTGCTTTGCCAAGCATGATGTCCTTCTCCAAGGCCCAGTACCTCTTGATAACTAGACCAAAGTATGTGAAATGAAGTCCTGCTATCCTCACTTCCAAGGAGCATTCTGGTCACACTTCTTCCAAGACAGACTTGTCTCTTCTATTGTCAGTCCAAAGTATATGTAGTTAATAATACTGTATAGTTAACAATGTTATAGTTGTTGTTAAGTGCCATTGAGTCAGTTCTGACTCATAGCGACCCTTATAGGGTTTCCAAGGATTGTCTGGTGAGTTTGAACCACCGACCTTGCAATTGGCAGTCCAGTGCTTATCCTACAGCACCACACCAGGACTTTCTGAGACACAAGTACAAACTTATTTGGCCATATTTTATTTTTATAATTTCTGAGGTAAGTGGCTAAATTTTTTTTTTCTTTAAGGTTCAAGGAGAAAACAACAATAAGGATCAAGTAGAAAATCAACAGTAGATGACTGAAAAGTCTGGAGTATAGTTGATAGTCCTGTATCAATGTTGGTTTCAAACTGGGGACAAATGTCCTGGTAACATATGGTGCTAATAATAGGGAAAACTGGGGACAGCAGATACAGAAACACTCAGCACCCTCTCTGGAAAGTTTCTGTAAGTCTGTAAAGTTTCCAAAATACAAAGCTTATTTTAACAAAAGTAGTTGAGTAAGACAGAAAGCATCCAATGGAAAAATGTTTTCTTTAAAAAAAAATAAATAAAGCCAAATCCATTGCTATCAAGTCAATTCTAACTCAAAATGACAATGGGAACTGTCCCACAGGGTTTCCAAGGCTGTAAATCTTTAGAAAAGTAGATTGCCACATCTTTCTCCCACAGAGCTCCTGGTGAGTTCCAATCAGTTAACTGCAGAGCACTTAATCACTGCTCACCAAACCATCCAAAATCCATATATCCATTGCTATTGAGTCAATTCCGACTCACAGAGGCCTTAAAAACTTTTATTTGAAAGATAAATATGTGCTTCTTACCTTGTTTAAAAGAAAATGGTAACTGTAAATTAGAAAAAAAATGGTCAATTGATTCTAAGTTTCATCCTAGCACCATGCCCGGGGCCTTGTCAATGTCTTTAAAAAGCTAACTATTCTGTGAGGCTTATATTTGTTGGTTACAACATCTGTGGTTGCAATGCTGAAAATGATGGAGAATGGATAGCCTCACCCACTGTCCCTTAGTTTAGGAAAAAAGAGGGGACGATAAAGATCTTGTATGTAAAACGGGGTGATCTCAGCTTACTAAACTGAGGCAAATCTATTCATTTGAAGAGGGGCAAAGGATGAAACTCGGTTGGTTTTGTATATATTGAAGTAACATACATTTTAGCTGAAGGTTTTTAAGAAAATAGAATCCAATACTACAGCTGCCTGTGATAGAAGCAGAAATAACCAACAATACCAATGAAAAAATGAAGAGCTGAAGGGGAGTTTAAAGCAAAACATGAAAGACGTTTAACTATACAACTCCTTCCTCGCTGTCTGATTTAATGACCAATGATGCTAGATGTGCGGTGTGTGTTCTCAGCTATTTTCTTAGAGACAGGTTGCATTTTCGTTTTTGTGTTGATTTTGTTTTTAGTTCAGAGTCTCGATACTAAGTCATGCTGCTAAGAGAGATGACAAGAACCTGTGCATTTTGAATCCAGGTTCAGGCAGCTTAAGTCAAAGGTCATAAAAAGCTAAAGGGACATGGAAAGGGTCACACTACACAAGCAGGTCCTGGATTACAAACCAATTCTGTGCCTAAATCTCTTTAAATTGAATTTGTACTTGAGTTGGAACAGTTAGCTACAGCTCATATCTAATGTCAGTCAAATGTTTGTCTTAGTATATGCTCTATAGTGGACCTTTCTATGCACAAAACATTAAAGGAACATGCCCAGAAACACTACAATGCCTTTAACATAATAATGGTAATGCTTTCATGCAAATTGCCAAATGGCATCCATTTGTTATTACAATTATATGTACCTCAAAAGTTTAATATAATAGGCTTGATTGGGGGTGGTTCATTAAGTACAGGTTGTACTGAAGATGTTCATGACCCTGGGACAGTCTGCAACTGAAATGCATGGTGTGGCATGAACTCAATCACTTACCACAAGACACTTATTGAACACCTACTACGTTAAGGGGCCTTTGTGGCATAGTGGGTTGCAAGTTGGGCTGCTAATCAATAGGTCAGCAGTTCGAATCCACCAGCCACTCCATGGGAGAAAGATAAGGCTTTCTGCTCCTATAAAGACTTATAGCCTCAGATATCCTATACAGGCCCATTGTGTGCCAGAATCAATTTGACAGCACATAACCGCCATCACTAGTCCCTACCATGTTCCAGACCCTTTTCTAGGATGTAAGGATACAACAAAGGCGCTCTGGTAGCATACTGGTTACAAACTGGGCTGCTAATCTCACCATCAGCAGGTTGAAACTACCAGCTGTTCCGCGAGAGAAAGATAAGGCTTTCTACTCCCGTAAAGATTTACAATCTCAGAAAATCTATGCAGGGTCACTATGAGTCAGAACCGACTCCACGGCACATAACAACAACAACAAGGATACAACAAAAGCCTTGAAGAGTGCAGATGATTAAGTACATGACTACTAACTGAAAGAATAGCAGTTTGAATCCACTCTGAGGCATCTTAGAAGAAAGGCCTACTTGCAGACACTGACCACCCTGTGGAGCACAGTTCTACTGGGACACACAAGGGGTTACCATGAGTCAGAAGTCACTTGACAGCTACTGGTTTGGTGGGCTTTTGCTTTTGTTTGGGGAAGGCAACAGCAGTGAATACAACTGACCACTAGCCTTAGAGTTTCCATTCAGCCACAGAGAGATAGTTAGTAAACAAAGAAACAACTTATATATGTTGTATATGAGATGGCGCTAAGAACCAGAGAGAAGGAAGCAGTGGAGAGGATTCTCGGAGAGTTTCAATTCTATGTACAGCAGTCAGGAAAACCCTAGTTCGGAAGGTGACATTTAATCTAAGGAGGAAAAGAGATGTGCCAAGCAAATGTCAGAAGGAAGAGCACTTCAGGCAACAGGACCAGTAAGAGCAAAGGCCATGAAGCAGGAACAGCCTGGGGTTTTCAAGGAGGAATAGGGAGACCAGTGCTTAGGAAGGGAATGCCTATGGGGAGGTCATAGAGGTAACAGGACAGACCACGAAATGTCTCCTAGGTCATTCCAAACCTAGGCTTTGACTTGAATAATGTGAGATATGACCATACATAACAGGATATATCACAGGCATTGATAATGATATCAGAGCAAGCTTAAAAATAACTTTGCCAGGGGATTTTTAGGACAAACTTCTGCATGATACTGGAGTGGAAGACACATGATATTATGCATTTGTCAAAACCCATAGAACCGTACAAAAATAATTTAGCTGAGAGGAACAGAAGGTACTTTTTGAAAGATAGACCGGCAGGAAAAATCAAAAGTGGCAGTCAGATGGACTACCACAGAACAAGCAAGTTGTCTGCAGGGAAGCCATCAAGGCAAGGAATCAAGTCCCTTCAGGGCAAACCCCCTCCCAAGACTGAAACTCAGAGTGAATACATGAGCAGGCATGTAAGCTTGCTGGTGACCGCATTGGCCTACTGATGAGTGGAAATGGGGGAAAGCAGCAATGAAGATGTGGGCTGAGTCCAACCACATTACATAGACGCCCGTCAACCTGGAGTGTGGTGAGACCTAAAGGGCCAGCACTATGGTGAGACCTGGAGACTCCTGAGCCCATGGACAAGGACATAGTCACAGAGGATTAGAGCAGAGAGTGAAGCATCCAGCTGATATGAAGTGAGGGGAGATGCGCAAGAACACCCAAACTTGCTGATAGTAGTACCCAATTGACCTAGCTTCAATGGCTGCATGATCAGAACTCAACTAGAGGAAGATTTAAAAAAAAAAAAAAAAAAAAAATGGGAGGATAAATAAAACAAGTGTAATTCGCTACAATTTGATGAACTTGACCTATACTTATGGATGCAGTGGCTTAAAATACCAAGAGGGAAGGAATCTTCATAGCAAGAATCATTCCCATCCCCTCTGTGCAAAAGGTTTATAGGGATGGGCGACTTAGACATTGGCTACCTAAAATGGGGGGCTATAAAGGCTCAAAGTGACTGCTTACAAGTTTTCAAGAGGGAGTTTAGTTTCAGAGGGTGCAAGGGAAAGTAGAATCTCCACTGAATGGTTTTCATCCTTTCTAGGTGAGCTGGTGAAAAGAGATGGGGATAAGATTCTTATGGTTCAATAGTGAGTAATTGTTATCATGACTGATTGCGATCGTTGGAACCGTAAAGGTAGAGGTTTTGTAGCAAAACGAGGGGAGTGGTGCATCTTGCAGTCCAAGAGTGGAGGACCCCGGGACCATCAAGGGAGAAGAGTGGGGGTGGAGTGTGGGACCCTATTCAGAGAAGTGGTGACTCCAGAGATGGAGGCAGAGATGATGATGTAGAGAGATGGAACAGCTGAGGACTCTAGACTCATGGAGGAAGAGGGGCTGTGTGCTAGCGTCTGGGGGACAGACTTGCAGGATATGCCCTTTGGGTATCTGAATGATTGTATATTCCAGAGTATTTTGTTATACATAAAAAAAAAAACACCAGAGGGAATAGAAGCAAATACTGTTGAATGATGATGCATGGAGGGGATTGTAATCATTGCAATGAAATTAAATATGATCGGATGAGTGTAAAGCTGATGTTCTCCAATGTAAACTATCTCTCAATTCACAATGAAAACTTTAAAAATTATAACTTAGCTAAATTGAAAATATCATCAGGAACTCAGGACCCCTCTTAAAAGAGCACCGTGTGAGCTCAGCCACTACAAGTTTTTCAGTTGCCTCCTCCTGGAGATCATTGGCCTACCTCTGGTCTCCATTAGGGCTAGTTCCTGGTTCTCACTCCATAAGGCCCACCTCTAGACTCCATAAGGTAACCCTAGAGGCAAAGGATGGCTGGATTTCTCTTCTCCACTGAAAGGAATCAGGGGTCATTAAAGACAAGGCCCATTGCCTGTGTGGAGTTTAACAACTCAGAGATAGCTAAGGATTACATTGTTTATGTGTTGAAATCTTAATCCCAAAACCTGTAGTTTTAATCCTGTTTGGAAATTAAGTTTTTGTTATGCTAACTAAAACACACCTGAGTTCTCAATCAAAACACTTCTGAGTTATAAAACAACACAAATTAGACAAGAGGCACACACACACTGGGGAAGGCAGACACCACGTGAAAACAGCTACAAGCCAAGGGACCAAGGACTAGCTGCGCTACCCACCAGGAAGGAATTGACCTGGTTAAGATGCTAACTGACTTTTAGATTCCAGAAGTGTGAGAAAATAAACTGTTGTCCTTTAAAGCGACCCATCTGTGACATTTCTGTTATAGTAGTTCTAGAAAATTGAAGCAAAAGGTAGTAGAGGCCAATGATGTTCATGGAGTGTCTGAGGTGGGGCTCAGAAGGACCTAGAGGTCAACAAATGGGCTCCTATAGTCACTCAGTGATATGCTAAGCATCAAACATATTTATTAAACCCCACAGTACTTAGAGTATTTTGAAACCTTCTGAGCTTATCATTCAGATGCTCAAAAAGAACAAATATTCAAATATGGTAGAAAACATCCATAGCTATCGCTATGAGTCCATGTGTGGGAGAGGCATACAAATAATTCAGCTGGTCATTTTAATTTCTTCAATCCTGGCCGCAAATAGAAGGACCAGAAGTATATCTGTTAAGTTAACACAAAGAAAACTTTGAGTCTCTGGTGAAGAGGGTAGATTGCCAAAGGGACCTTAGCATTCACTACCACCTGCGCTACTGGAAAATGCTACTGCGAAGTTAACGTGCTTTCTCCCAGAAGTACACAGAAATGCACCAAGGTGGTTTTCACTAGTTATTTTCATGTGTGGGAAAGCAGGCGTGCAGCCCAAGTCAACAAAATAGCCCAGTACAAGAAAGGAGAAGGAAGTTGCTTGCCCTTGGTGAAATCCCTACTGTATGGGCATGGGATCATCCACTCCGTGGGCACTGCAGAGACAACTGCCTATGAGCCTAGAATTATGCAGTTGAAATTAGCGGCAGAAAAAACCATGGCCAGGCTTGTCATCCTCACAAGCTCCAAGTGAGCCCTCGAGCTGCCCCAAACATTGCCGTCTCTGAGTTGTCACTATCCACCCTCCCACAAGACTTCCCAAACCTCTAACATCTCCTTCCCTTCTCACTCTCAGCAGGAGACGCTGCTTCCTATTTCACTAGGAAAATAGAAGAAATAAGAAGAAACCCTCGTGCTTCTACATCATTCCAGCTACCAGCATCTGTGCTTCACAACATGGTTGTTGTTGTGAAGTGCCATCGAGTCCAGTTCAACTCATAGCAACCCTGTATAGGGTTTCCGAGGAGCAGCTGGTGAGTTTGAACCACCAATCTTGCGATTCAAACTGACCTTGCAGTCCAGTGCTTGTCCTATGGTGCCACACACCAGGTTTCCACATAGTGGAGGTCAAAGTTAAAATATAGTTAAGTCAAAATACTGTGCAGTGCCAAACATTTCTATAAAGTTAAGTAAAGGCTCTGTGCCTCACTGATATACTGATGAGGGGCAAGTCTCAACTGGTGGGTCTCAGTTATTGCAGTTGTAAAACAAGGTCCTTCAAGTTCCATAATCCTATGATTTATGGGAGTCACAAGATGGTAATTAATTTAAATGATTCAAAGATCTTAATTTCACAAATCACTCAGATGATCACCAGTGGTCACTGACTAACAACCATACAATCTAGATTGTTTATGCTGACTTCTCCGAATCCCATCTGCTGTTAGTCACACCAGGACCTTTTCCCAGCGGAACTTTTCTTTTAGAATTTCCAACCACCCTTGATCCACATCATTCTTATTAGCTGGCCTTTATGTTTTGAAGTTTGCCTTCCTTATTCTACTGGTAGTATCTCCAGGCTGACTACTTAAATGCTTAGATTTTTTTGTGGATGCTGCTTAAAATCCAAAATGTTAAAACTCTGTGTCCAGATACATACAGATCATAACTTTTCAAAACTAGGGTAATAATGAGCAACACTTCACAGCATGGATGCGTTGCTTTGTGCTTTGAGCCAAGTCTTTCTCCCAACAGGAACTCTTTCTGTAACTCATACTGCAAAGATGGACTCACTTTCTCCAAATGTGCTTTGCTTATCAGTGCTCCCATGCTGGCCGAGGGATCAGAAGGAATACCGACTTTCCACTTTCTGGTAGCTTCTACGAATCTCTTTAAAAATTCACTATAGATACTCTTCTGGACAAAGATCCTGCTGGTACAGAGACAGATTTCACCCTGCCAAGAAAGACACACAAGGGCAATGACAAGACAGTCTCACAATCTACCAAACTTGCATCTCTTTTGTCATGATTCTAAGACATCAAAACACTTGTTTAACTGTTCACTGTGATACTTGCTTATTTTTAACCATAAAATTACATTATGTCTATTGATTCAGAAACCTAAACTCTTTCATGGGATAGGTCAGCTTGCACATTTGAGCACAGCTCCAGGTGATGGGATACCGTGAAAAGCAAGACAGACAGAGTCCCTGACACAGTCAAGTGGGGGAGAAAGACACAGCACATGACCAAAAAAAAAAAGTTAAACCAATAATATAGTTTCTGGCAGTTATCCAATCCATAGAGAAAAACTAAGCAAAGGATGGAATTAAAAACTGATGGAGGGGCAGTTATTTTATAATAAGGAATCCTAGGGGTACCTATGAAGGGGAGACAGTTGAATTGACATTGATTTCATGTGCAGAAGTAGGCGGGCAAAGATCTGAAGGAAGCAAATTCTCAACTGCAGGTGTGGAGGATGGGGGCAGGAATGAGCTATGAGTGTGAGGGACTGCAAGAAGGGGGACGAGGCTGAGGGTATGAGTGGAGACAGATACTGGATGTGTGTGACAGGACATGAGGTCAAGAGGTAAGCAAAGCAATCTCATGTAGAATCTCATAGGCTCAGTTAGGAGCTTGTGTTTTGTGTATCATGGGATATTTTAAGCAGAGAGATGACATCCAATTTACATTCTGGCAGGTGTCTGAATAACAGAATGAAAGGGAGCAGAGTGGGCCCAGAGTGACACGTTAACAGAGTGTATCAGGAGTCGTTTGCCAATGAGATGAAGAAAAGTGATAACTTCAGCAATCACAAGTTTTAAACAAGCATGGAGCCCCACCACATGTAAGAAAACTGGTATAGAAGACAGAAGAAGTAACAGGATTCAGGGTATATTTTAAAGGTAGAGCAAACAAGGTTTGTAGCTAGAAAAGAGATGGGGTGTGAGAAAAGGAGAAAGTGGAAACAAGGAAAAGGCCTAGGTTTGGGCTAGAACGAGGGTGTCGATGCCATTCCCTGGAAAAGGAAGCCCATGGCAGGGAGGGCAGCAGTGCTGCAGGGCAGGGTGAGGCAGAGAAAGCAAGTGTTTTCTTTGAACACATCAAATTTCAGATGCTTAACTGTCAAGAGCTCTGGTAGCGTAGTGGTTATGAGTTGGGCTGCCAACCTCAGGGTCAGCAGTTCGAAACTACCAGCGGTTCTGGAGGAGAAAGATGATTCATTCTGCTCCCATAAAGATTTACAGCCTCAGAAATCCTGCACAGGTTCACTATGAGTTGGAAGTGACTCCATGGCATATAACCAACCATTAACCATATGTCATATTGGCGTCTTGGTGTGGCATTGTGGGTTAATGCTTTGGATTGCAAAGTTGGCTTGAACCACAAGGTCACAGTTCAAACTCCCCAGCTGCTTCTCGGGTCAAAACTGACTCAACAGCACTTAACAACAACAACATGTATCTTATCATAAATAAACGCATACATAAATAACTATTTCAACACATTTATATGTCATATTCACAACAATCCTCAGAAACTGGATGCTTCTAATTCTCTTGATATTGGTATAAAGGTTCACTGTCCAAACTAAATAGTTGCTGTTGTGTGTGCCATCCAGTGGATTCTGACTCTTATTGGCCCCATGTAGGGTTTGCGAGGCTGTAAATCTTTACGGGAGCAGACAGCCTCACATTTCTCCCATGAAGTGGCTGGTGAATTTGAACTGCAGACCTTACGGTGAGCAGCTCAACGTTTATCCCACAAGTTCTTTCTATAGCCCAGGTTTGCTCCTAAAATGATTTCCACATGTGGACGAGGAAATCTCAGAGCTCCTGAGAGTTTCATTTGTACAAGAGCAAATGTAAGGATTTTACCAAATTTCCTAGAAACTCAGCAGCAGGAAAATACAGGTAACAATCTGAGTCCTGGGAAGAAGTCTTGAGAAGAAATGGGAAAAGGAAACCCACACGATCAGTAACTAGTGTCTCCTAGGCACCCTGAGGAATGCTTTCCTCATAATAATCCCAGGATGCAGTATCTTTTCTAGTTCAGAATTAGGAACCAACATTTTCAAATAGTTACATGTTTAAGGTCAGTGACAAGCTCAGGCAGTGACAAGATCCAATGTGCATGAGGCCGGGGCTCCATTGGTTTTCACCAAGTCACATAGTACCTCTAAGAAACAGTGTGTTCTTTGCCAAAGGAGACCATGCCTCACAGAGACAGAGATAAGAAAGCCAATAATGTTTCATTAATGCAGGGTCCTGATGTGGCACTGAATGATAAGCACTGGAGTGCTAACTGCAAGGCCAATGGTTCAAACCCACTAGCAATTCCTTGGAAATCCTATACAGTGTTGCTTTGTGTCAGAACCAACTCAACGGCACTTAACAACAACAACACGCACCACATAGAATTCATCACTTAACTGAGCCAAAGACATTATTAAATTGCTTTGTTTGTTTTGCCTAAGACCATGTGCTGCCTTGGGTTGAGTTGGGTTTCCAAGGAATGGCTGATGGCTGTAAATCACTGACCTTGCAGTCCAGGTCCCTGTCCCACTGATATGTTAAACTATCTCCAAGAGGAAGGATCTCTGGGCAAACTCAAGTCCTAGCCCAATTCAGGTAGTCAAGGAGCGTCAGGCTCAGTACAGGGGTACTTTAATGCAGGGTTACTTCTCAAATTCCCCAGTCCACAAAATTCACTCCTCTCTTGCTCTGACTTTAAAACATGACATTTGGATGGATTATTCACTTTGATACTTGCTTATTTTAACCATAAAGTTGCATGACGTCTATCCATCCAGAAACTCTACATATTTCTATTTTCTCTGAAAATTACCATGAAAATAATTACAATAATGAGATATCATCATTGCTATTTAAGCAGCAGGGTGACATCATCTGATTTGCATTTCTAAACGATCATGCTGGCAGCTGTGTGGAGAGTAGAAAGGAAAGGACCAGAGTGACAAATTAAGAGAGAATTACAGGAGTCCTAATAAGTGAAGGTTACGAATCGGGCTGCGAACCTTAAGGACAGCGGTTTGAAACTACCAGCCGCTCCGCGGGAGAAAGATGAGGCTTTCTACTCCCGTAAGGATTTACACCCTCGGAAACCCTGTACAGGGTCGCTATGGGTCGGAACCGACTCGACGGCACTTAACAACAACAACAACAATAAGTGAAGGTAGCTTAAACCAGCAATACAAGCAATGATTGAAATAACAAGAAATGCTGGCAAGGGTGGGGAGAGATTGAATCTCTCATACACTGCTAGCTAGGGGTTTGTAAAATGGTACATAATATTTATGTAGAAAACAGTATGATGTTTCTTTAGAAAGTTAGAAATAGAGATACTGTATGATCCAATGCCACTCTTAGGTATAAATCCTAGAGAAATAAGAGATGTCACATGAATAGATCTCCGCGTACCTATTTATATAGGTTCATCACAGCACTATTCACAATAGTGAAAAGATGGAAACAATATAAATGCCCATCCATGGAATACTGTGTAATGTTAAAGAATAACAATAAATCTACAAAGCATCTTGTAACATGGATGAACTTGGAGGGCATAATGCTGAATAAAAGAGACCAATCACAAAAAGATAAATATTGTATGAGACCATTACCATAAAAAGTCAAGAAAAGGTTTCAATACTGAAGAGAGCATTCTTTGATGGTTACCAGGGATAGGAGGGGTCAGAAGGCTAAAATGACTAATTAAAGAGTAGACATGTAGTAACTTGGGTGAAGGGAAAAACACTATTCGGTTACATTGACCATGACCAAAGCAAAGGTAGTGACTGGCAGGTACACAGGAGTAAAAGGCAATGAAGGTAAATACTAAACAATCCTGCAATAACAACAACAACAGCAAGCAATAATCTATGAGCGGATATGTACGTAGATGTGCAAGATGAACAGGTATGAGATGGTATATGGGAACACACTCATAGATATATATATGTTGTTGTTATTAAGTACCATGGAGTCGGTTCTGACTCATAGCGCCCCTGCACAGGGTTTCCGAGGCAGCAAATCTTTACGGGAGCAGAAAGCCTCATCTTTCTTCTGAGGAACAACTGGTAGTTTCAAACTGCCAACCTTGAGGTTAGCAGCCCGATCTGTAACCACTCTGCTACCAGAGCTCCTTACTCCAGAGACTACTGCCCTTAAAACCCTTCAAACTTGGAACTCAAACTACCCCTCTCTGTCCTCAGAGTCACCTTTCAGTAAAACAATTGTTGTTAAGTGCTGTAGAGTCAGTTCCAACCCATAGCAAACCTGTATAAGATTTCCTAGCAGCAGCTGGTGAGCTTGAACCGCCAACCTTGCAGTTCAAAGGACTTTGCAGTCTGGTGCATTAACCCACAGCGCCACACCATGATGCCTCAGTAAAACAGTAGACAGGCCTATAAAGTGAACAGTAATGCCCAGGAAGAATATAATCCTCAGAACACTCAACCATATGAGACCAAACGGGCAGCATTTGCTCAAAATCAAAGCTCAGAGGCAAGAAGGGGCAAGAAAGAAAGATGAACAGAAACAGGAAACCCAGGGAGGAAGTGGGAAGAGTGCTGTCACATCAAGGAGATTGTAACTAATGTCACAAAACAAAATGTACATCAGTTCTTGAATGATAAATTAATGAGCTTTGCAAACTTACACCAAAAAATAAAATGTTCAAAAATAAGTAATTCAATTTTGAAAAAGAAAACAATTATTATAAAGAATAAAATAACATCATTCTACACGCTTAAAAACTTTGTTGGAAGGTTATTGTTGCCATGATTTTACTGGTGAAGAAATGAAGACTCAACAAGGCTATTCAATATTATCTAAGCTAGGTAAACAAAGACATATCTCATTCTCATCCTTTCTCCTATGGAAATCTAATTCTTTGGCTTAAGTCTCTGTTCTGTGTTAAAATAAAAATATCCTGAAATTGTTTTAAAAAGTATTTAAGTCATAGACACTGTTCAGCCTTAGACAGTATTCTAGGCATTTATGATAAAAATGCTGAGAAACTACAGCCACAGTTTCCGTCTTCATAAAGCTAGGAGCATAATGGATTTGATCTTGTGGTCTTAACCTTTCGGAATCTCTATGGTACTGAAGAATCTGCTGCCAACTATGGATCCCAGAAAAACATCTGTAATATAATCCAGGAGATAACAAAGGTGCCCTGAAGCTCATCAACGACTCCAAGGTAAGAAAGCAGTTCTAGTTTGTTTCAAGTATTTACATCCACTGGGGATGCTCTGGGGGAGAATAAGGTTTACATGAGGATGGCAATAAAATACTGAGCAACTATAGAAATTCATGGATGGAGAAATTTGGAGCATTAGAGATGAACCATTTTTCCCATCTCTGGTAACTGATAAGAGTTGTGTAACTCAAGAAAACGATGTTGCTGAACAGAATGTGTACCCTACAAGGCCAGCAGCTGATGTTGAGATTGGACAACAGTCAACAGAATAACACAAACAATGATGCGCGGTTCTCCTTTTACTGGTGTGGCACTGGATTAACCAACGCATTGCCTGGATTCACAGTAAGATGAACAGATCCATCTTGACAGGACCACAGAAGGGAAAAAGCCCACAAAACATACCTGATTGGCAAAGCTGGACCTGACAGTTGCCGGAATGCACTCCTCCAGGTTGGCATCCTCAAAGATAATGGCAGGATTCTTGCCCCCCAGCTCCAGGGAGAGCTTCTTGCAGTGGGGGGCACTCAGCTGTGTGATCCGCTCTGCTGTGGGCTGGCTCCCAGTGAAGGAGATCACAGGCACTTCTGGATGGGACACCAAGGCCTCGCCTACTCTGGGCCCCGTTCCAAACACAATGTTGACCACACCTGGTGGAACCCCTGGATGAGAAAACCATGTCAATGACAAGAAGTCACATCTGTATGTTAAGAATTTGAGATTACAGGGAGGTTGTAGAAAGTCAAATGACTTGAATGGGGGAAGAAGAGCACTTGGTGCGTTATTCAACATCTGGAACTGGATGGCTGCCATTGAGTCTGTTCCAATTGTATAGAGTTTCCCAGGAGTGGCTGGTGAGTTTAACAGCAAAGGAAAAATTGTCAGTGTACACAGTAGGTGAGATTTCTCTGAGTGTTTTGACTAGACTATTCTAGCATGTCATCCCATGATATCCATTAGGCCTGAGTTGTTGAAGACACAGAGATGCTTAGGTAGATTTGCTTCAGTCTGTGAGGACTACTTTCCTCCAAGTTGACACTTCACAATTCATTGTGGAAAACTCTACAGAAGAGGGTTACTTGTAACTACTGCCAGCTGCTCCCATAACAATTTACAGGCTCAGAGAAGCGCTAAGGAGCAGTTAGTTGGACACTGTCCTATAGGGTAGGGTATGACTCAGAATCAACTCAACAGCAGTGGGTTTGGTTTATGGTGGCTTTAGTTTGTGGGCTTACTTGTTTACAGGTATTTGTTCACCAATACAAGGTACACTATCTGAGGGCAGAAATAATATCTGATATTTTTTGCTTTCTGTTATATCCCCTGTACCATAGTCCAGTTTGGTACATAAAATCATTACCAGTAAGTGCTCACATTTTGGGGTGCTTATTGTGTGCCAACCATTGCTGTAAGTGCTTTACACCCTGGTGCAATGATTAAGCACTTGATTAACCAATGGATTAACAGTTTGAAACCACTCAGTTGTTCCTAGAGAGAAAGAACTGGTGATCTGTTTCTGTAAAGATTGTTGTTGTTGTTGTTGTTGTTGTTGTTGTTAAGTGCCATTGAGTTGGTTCTGACTCACAGTGACCCTGAGGTTGTAAATCTTTGTGGGAGAAAAAAGCCTCACCTTTTTCTGCTGGAGCGGTTAGTGGGCTTGAACCGCTGCCGACCTTGGGGTTAGCAGTCCAGTGTTTATCTTATAGAGCCACTTTGCTCCCTTTCTATCAAGATTATAATCAAGACAATCCTAATGGAGCAGTTCTACTCTGTCACATGCTGGCACAAAAAATTATAATCAACTCCATGGTACCAAACAACAACAGACTCCTATGAGATAGATACTAGTATTTTTGTCTTATCAGTAGAAAATTAATGCAAAATATGTATAAGTAAAAACCAGTAAGTGGCAAAGCTGGTAATAGCAGGCTAATAACTAACTCTTAAGTGAATGAATGATTAATATACAGTATACAAATTAGACATGTAAAACTTGAAGTAACCAGAAAGAAAATCATGTGGACAATTGTGCCCAGGAACTCTGAGGGTTTGCTGGGGAGCTGAATGCATTTCCCTCCCTCTCCAGACTCACTCAATCCATAGTGGGTTCAGAAATGCTCTTAGGTGTATATTTTTTCAATTCCTTCTCTGCTCCTAAGAGTGTCCTCTCCTTGTTGAGGGGAAGACATTTTCTCCTCATTAGAAATGTACTGCCTAGAATTGAAATCTTCTCTTTGGAAATCTACTTTTAGAGTGTAAAAAGTATATTTCACACAAATGTTCCATTACTACCCCTCAGACCTTCCCCTAGAGCCACAACTTTTATAGCATCACCTAGGCCTATTGAGGGGAGTCCGTGCTATGGATTGAACTGCATCCCTGCAGAAAAATACGCTGAAACCATGACTCTTGTATCTGTGAACACGACTCTGGAAATTGAGTCTGTGAAGATGCTATCAGTTAGGTTAGAAGAAGATGATACTGGAGTAGGATGGGTCCTCATCCTACATGACTGGTGTCCTTATCATGGAGAAGAAGATGAAAAAGACAGAGAAAAAAGACTCCACATCAACCCAAGGAATGTCTGGAGACCTAAGAAGCTAGGAGGCATGGGAGATTTCTCTCTCAGAGCCCTCAGAGGAAATCAACATGGTCAACACTGTGCTCTCGGGCTCTCAGCCTTCAGGACATGAGAAAATACATTTCTACTGAAGCCAGCCATTTGCTGGTGTTTTGTTATAGCAGTTCCAGGAGACCCATACAGCCCTCAAGGAGACACAAGGGAAGAGTTGACAGGCTATCCAGGAAAATGTCACCTTATCTCATGGTGGTGTCAGACAGGATGCAACGTACTGAGCCCAACTCTATGCCAAACAAGCACCTTTGTTGTAGTCTGGTTCAGGTCAGTGCTAAGGAGGGCTGATTTAGGCTCCAGGCTGGACAAAGATAACCTAAGAAGACGCCTTTCCCTCACGGCAAGTTCCCCACCATTAACTGGGTCTCCCTCCAACATCAGGCCAATATTACATGCATACAGGAAAGGAGGGGGGGTGAGAAACAAGAGGGGGTGAGTGTTAGGCTTCATAAATCCTTTATATAAAAAAATATATAAAAAAATCATTTCTAATGTTTACAGTAGTATACTAACAAGGAAAAGGGGTGAGAGACAACATAAAAACATCACCTACTTATCACCACAGCAATGAGCTTATTTCAGCAGGCTGATTTCCTTCTTTACAGTGTGGCATTAATTTTTATTCTATTTCCTTAGCTCCTATGCACACACACTAACAGCTGTCTGCCAGCCATTGCTTCTCAGTGCCATTCTGCCATCTACCCACTGCGATAGTATCGATTCTGACTCATAGCAACCCTATATAGGATTTACAACAAAAAATTCAAGCCTTGACTTTCGTTATTGAAAGATTCTCTGGGCAGATTACTGAATGGTGCAGAAAGCAGCAAGAGAAGATGAAAGGAATACACAGAGTCACTGTACACAAAGGAAATGGTTAATGTTCAACCGTTTCAAGAGGTAGCATATGATCAAGAGCCAATGATTCTGAAGGAGGAAGTCCAAGGTGCATTGAAGGAATTGGCAAAGAACAAGGCACCAGGAATTGATGGAATAAAAATTGAAATCTTTCAAGAAAGTGAGGCGGCACAGGAGGTACTCACTCATCTCTGCCAAGAAATTTGGAAGACAACTATCTGGCCGACTGATTGGAAGAGATCCATATTTGTGGCCATTCCAAAGAGAGGTGACCCAACAGAATGTGGAAATCATTGGACAATCTCTTTGATATCCCATGTGAGTAAAGTTTTGCTAAAGATAATACAGAAATGGCTGCAAGCCTACATTGACAGAGACCTTCCAGAAGTTCAAGCTGGATTCAGAAGAGGCCATGGAATGAGGGATATCATTGTTGATGTCCGATGGATCTTGGCTGAAAGCAGAGAATATCAGAAAGATATTTACCTGTACTTTATTGACTATGCAAAGGCTTTTGATTGTATGGATCATGACAAGCTATGGACAACATTGCGAAGTATGAGGATTCTGGAAAACTTAACTGTGCTCATGAGGAATCTGTACCTGGACCAAGAGGCAGTTGTTTGAATAGAACATGGGAACACTGAATGGTTTAAAATTAAGAAAGGTGTACGACAAGGTTGTATTCTTTCACCATATTTATTCAACCTCTATGCTGAGCAAATTATCCGAGAAGCTGGGTTCTATGAAGAAAAATGTGGCATCAGGATTGGAGGAAGACTCATCAACAACCTGTGATATGCAGATGATACAACATTGCTTGCTGAAAGTGAAGAAGACTTAAAACATTTACTGATGAAGATCAAAGAGCACAGCCTTCAGTATGGATTACATCTCAATGTAAAGAAAACAAAAATCCTCACCATTGGACCAATAAACAACATTCTTATCAACAGAGAAAAGATTGAAGTTGTCAAGAACTTCATTCTTCTTGGATCAACTATCAACACTCATGGAAGCAGCATTCAAGAAATCAAACGACATATGGCATTAGGCAAATGTGCTGCACAAGACCTTTTCAAAGTGTTGAAGAGCAAAGACGTCAGCTTGAGGACTAAGGTGCATCTGACCCAAGCCACGGTATTTTCAATAACATCATATGTATGTGAAATCTGAACAGTGAATAAGGAAGACCGTAGAAGAATTGATGCTTTTGAGTTGTGGTGTTGGAGGAGAATATTGAAAGTGCCATGGGCTGCCCATAGAACCAACAGATCTGTGTTGGAAGAAGGGCAGCCAGAGTGTTCCTTGGAGGCCAAGATGGCCAAACTTCATCTCTTGTACTTTGGACATGTTGTCAGGAGGGACCAGTCACTGGAGAAGGATATCATGTTTAGTAAGGAGGAGGGACAGAGAAAGAGAGGAAGACCCAAAACAAGATGGATTGGCCAAGTGGCAGCATTGATGGACTCAAGTGTGGCAACAGTAGTGAGGTTGGCCCAGGATCGGGCAGTGTTTCATTCTGCTGTGTATAAGATCGCTATGGGTTGGTACTGACTCAATGCCACCTAACAACAACATTAACAAAGCTTCATAGGAACAGACTTTCTCTTGTGGAACAGCTGATAGATTTGAACTGCTGACCTTGCGGTTAGCATCCCAATGCTTAATCTGATGTATCACCAGAACTCTTTTTTGTCATTTAGATCAGACATTAATGATTTAAAGAAAAGAAAAGAAATATGATCCAAACAATTAATGTGCTCAGCTGCTAAACAAAAAGTTGGCAGTGTAAGTCCACTCAGAGGTTCCTCAGAAAAAAGGACTGGTGACCATGTTCTGGAAAATCAGCTATTGAAAGCCCTATGGAGCACAGTTCAACTCTGACACACATGGGGGGTGGGGGGAGAGCTCGATGAGTTGGAGTTGATTCAACCACAAGAGCCCTTAAATAGAGCCTGAGAGATACTAGTGAGAAGAGAAGGAAGTCAGTTTAACTGGAAATACAAAACTCGAGGCAGGTGGCTAACAGATGACAAAGGAGACATCTGCTAGACCACACATGCTTGGCCGTAGCAAGAAGGCAATAAGACAGATTTCAAACTTAAACAAAAACTAATGGGAAGGCCCAAAAAACCATGGTCACAGGATCCTCCCGGAACAAGAGCAAACATTCAGAGTTCCCACGAGGAAACTGAAAATTCTAGGATTCCCAAAGAAGCATCCACTGTGTGCTCTCTAAATTGATTTGATTTCAGCAGAAGGTCATCCTTCAAGTCTGTCTGAATGCTCATTTGTTTTCCTTCTATATTTAAAGTTTTACATTGCTCTAAGGCAGGACTGAAGTCCTCATGTGGCTCTGTAGGATAAGCACTAGACTGCTAATCACAAGGTAGGTGGTTCAAATTCACCAGCCGCTTCTTACAAACCCTATACAGGGTCAGTAAGCATTGGAGCCAACTCATCAGCACTTAACAACAACAAGGTAGAACTAAGTGTATGTGATTCACACCTTGTCCCAACTCCAGAGAAGCAACTGAGGGCTTGAGAGAGGGACCACTTGAATAGGAGGGCATGCTCCGTGTCCCTCAGGGGAGGGAAGTTTGGCAAAGCCCATTCAGGAAAAGAGGTCAGGAGGAAGGGGTTGATGCTGTCTTGGTATAATTAACTTATTAAATACCAGTTGCCGTCAAGCCAACTGTGACTCCCGGAGACTCCATGTGTGTCAGAGTAGAACAGCCTTTTCAATAGCTGATTCTTTTAAGGCCTTTCTTGATGGACTGAATCCTCCAACCTTTCTGTTAGCAGCCAAGCACATTAACCAATCTTACCACTCAGGGACCTCAATAGGCTAGTTAACTCATAAGAAATATCATCAGTGCTGAGCAAAAAGATGGAAGCATGGGGCTCTCATGCAGACCAGGTTGGAGGATGTTACAGGAGAGGGTGGTTAGGAAGATAAACCTTGCAGATGAAGATCTGTTTGATATTATGGTGTTACCTGGCCTCTACATGTTCCTTCCCCGACATGGACCACTTCTGTACCACTCTGGGAAGCTATAGTCCCATGCAGAGGAGAAACACCTTTGACCTTTGTAGACACAAGAAATTCAAGTTTGCAAAGAGCAAGATTCGAATGTGGTCACTTTTGTAAAGGAGGGATGGCACGGTCTGGGACACATTCATGGTATGCACCGTCCAGAAGTCTAATGTAACCACAGAGGGCAGCCCAAAGGTCTGGGCTGGGCACTTCACTCAATTGCTCATTTACCTAGACAAGAGTCACAGGCCCAAGGCCCTTCTCTAAACAGGCACGATTTTAACCCATCATCTAAATCCTGGCTGAAACAATCAGTTACACTTTCCCCAACGGGAAGGCTAATGAAAAGGAATCCAGAAGAGGAAAAGAAATGGGATGCTTATCCACCATTCATTTTATGGACATGGGTGACCCAGCAGAATTTTGTGGACTTAACTTGGTACAGCAAAGATTAGCACAGCCAGAAAGGCGTAGTTTGTTCCCGACCACCCACTCTATCATTCCTACCCAGGGCTATTTGGAGACATGAGCTGAGGACCTACATCAAGGGGCCTCTCATTACATATAGCCTGTGACCTGCCGAGCCAAGTCACACCTCCACTGTGGCCACTAAACCGTCAGCAGAAACAGGATAAGCAGCTAATGTGGAACCCTTCATATTGTATCTGTTTCTGATGGCAGTTCCAAATACAGGAAAAACTGAACAAGGGTATATTCAAATCACTTGGAAAATGCGTTATTTCTATTTGATATCTACACAAACCATAGAAATAACCTAGCAATATTTTTATTTTCATTAAGATTAATTTGACTCAAACATAAGATTTCAATGGTCTGGTGTGGCACTTCAGGATAAGCACTTCATTGCTAAACATAAGGTTGGTGGTTCAAACCCCACAAGCTGCTCCTTGGAAACCCAACATGGGGTCGCTACGATAATCAAAACCAACTTAATATATTTAACAACAACAATTCAAGGAAATATATGTAGCAGACTATTGCTTGATTTGATCTGGGCTCTTTAACCCTATCAAAAAATAAGTAAAAGAAAACAGTTGCCATCATTGACTACTGGTGACCCCAAGTTTGTTAGAACTATGCTCCATAGGGTTTGAATGGCTGATCTTTTGGAAATAGATCACCAGGCATTTCTTCTGAGGTGTCCCACCAGTTGGACTTGAACTTCCATCCTTTCAGTTAGTAGCCATGCTTATTAGCCATTTACACCACCCAGTATTGGCCACCTACTGCTAGCCAATAACCCTGGGAAGTGGAGCAGTTCCTCAGTGACAAAGCTCTGGAGCTGCATAGAGGAAGCGGTGTGGAGGGACCCTGTGGATGAAAGCGATTTCCTGGGAAAAGATCAGTGGAAAAAGTCAAAGGTTATTGGAATCCCTTCTGCTGCTGAGCAGAAAGTTCTATCCGAAATAACTGCTCTCACTATCTAGACGCTGGTGACCTAAGGAAACTAAATCCTACTTAGTTTACGACCCCAAAGCCAATCCCATACCTCCCTGTCCTGCCACACCTCATTACCTGCTTTAGGCAGTAGTTTGCACAACATCCACGCAGTCACTGAAGTCAGCTCACTGGGCTTGGCAATCACAGTGTTCCCAGCAGCCATTGCTGGAGCTATCTTCCAAGTCAGCAAGTAGAGTGGCAAATTCCAAGGGCTGATCAGGCCAGCTAAAACCAAGAAGAGACACATGGCCAGTCATGTTGTTATTGTTAAGTGCCGTCGAGTCAGATCCTATATAGGGTTTCTGAGGAGCAACTGGTGGGTTTCAACCACCAAGCTTGCGGTTCAAACCAACCTTGCAGTCTAATGCTTATCCTACAATGCCACACCAAGGCCAATAGTGTCTTGCTTAGCAAGACTAAGCAAAACTACTCATGCAGAATTGCTCTGCAAACCTTAAGGTGAGCGGTTCGAAACTACCAGCCGCTCCGTGGGAGAAAGATGAGGCTTTCTACTCCCGTAAAGATTTACACCCTTGGAAACCCTGTACAGGGTCGCTATGGGTCGGAACCGACTCGATGGCACTTAACAACAACAACAACAACATATGAAATGCTTACTCTTCTGAAGTCTAAAGCTTTGCTCCTTTGGGACTAACTTCAGGGCTGGTAGGTTTGAGTTAGCAGTCCAGCGCTTTTCCTGAAGCAGCCTTGGCGACGCCGTGGTTAAGCACTCGGCTGCAAACCCAAACTCAACTGCTAACCCAAACCCACTAGCTGCAGATGGCCCATTCTAAAATATTTATTCATTTCTGGATGGCTTCTGGTCATAATTATGAACAACAATACTATTATTCCAGCTTGAAAATAAGCATTCGGGAGTTCTGGAGGTGAAAGATCCCCAGAATTCAATGCTTTTGGAGATTTGCAGACTGATTTTTATAGTTCTTGTTCGTTACTCTTTTTTCACTTTTCCCTCCTACTGCCAAACTGTCAAACTGCTATTTCTTCTCACACATTTTCCCACCTCCATCCTGAAGCTGTTGTGGATTGAGATACAAATCTCAAACTTTTTAGAACTATTGGTAAAATAAATAAGAGCAAAAGAGTGTTCCTTTTGAGAACTCAATGAAATGCATGTTGACAGCCAATGTTCTCCCTAGATTCTCAGCTATATCCTGATCAGGGAGTCCTGGCATAACACTGTGGGTCAATGCACTGGACTGCAGAGGTGTATGAACTGCAAGGTCGGCGATTCAAACTCACCAGCTGCTCCTTGGAAACCATATACAGGGTCACTATGGATCAGAACTGACTCAATGGCACTTAAAACAACAACAACAATCCTGATCAGGTTGGTTTGCTGAAACTTCCCAGGCTTCCTGCCATGAAATATACAAAAATATAACCTATCTATGAATAAGAAATGAATTCACCTCACTTTATACTAATCTCTTAAGCCCGTGCTACAAAATTAAAAATATAGTTTTAATAAATAAATCTCCCACTGCGGCTTTGGGAGGGAATCTGTTGTTTAGGGCACTGTAGGATAATGCATTGGACAGCAAGGTCAGTGTGAACTACAAGGTCAGCGGTTCAAACTCACCAGTTGCTTCTTGGAAACACTATACAGGGTTGCTGTGAGTCAAAATCCACTTGATAGCACTTAACGACAACAATGTATTTTCACCAAAACCATTAGCAAACTTCTTAGGAGAAGGTTTGACTTTACTTAAGGTCTTGCAAATACGATTTCCAAAGGACTTGAAGACCATGTCCCATTTTCTTTCCTTTTATCTTAGATTTTTTTTTTATCCTATCATAAAATGATAAACTATGGATGATTGGCTTTTTGTTTGTTGTTGTTGTTTTCCTCAGAAGAAACAGGTGCAATCTACTGGAAAGGTTTCATCATTGTAGATATTTATTTTCCAAAAACAGGGCAGAAATCCTGCTGTGTGCCAGTTGAGTAGATTCCTGTGCATAGAGACCCTATCCAGTGATGTAAAAGTGTTTTTACATCACTGGATAGGGTTTTGTAGGTTGTCCCCATGAATTTCCTGAGTTGCTAATTTTACAGGAGATCCACAGGTTTTTTTCTCCTACAGAGCTACCCGCGTGGGCCATCTGCAGCTAGTGGGTTTGGGTTAGCAGTTGAGTTTGGATTTGCAGCCGAGTGCTTAACCACGGCGTCGCCAAGGCTGCTTCAGGAAAAGCGCTGGACTGCTAACTCAAACGTACCAGCCGCTCTCGGAAACTCTATATATGGCTGCTGTAAGTCCTAACCGACCCTACGGCACTTAAACAGCAACAACAAAGCACACATAGTACTCTTCTAGGGGCTACATTTCCTAATGTATTCAATTCATGCATAAATAGATACGATCAAATTAAATCATTATTCCAGCTGGACTATAAGAATATTGAAGTACACAAGGTTTAAGTATCTTGCCCCCATGCATTTCCAGAATGCCGATGCTTATCCACTACACTGTATGCAATGGTTTTTCCCTATATTACATGGAGCAACAGAGCCTTTTATTCATCTGTGAGGTTACTCTCACCAGCATTCTTTACCCTGTGATTTTCCTAGAATAATATTTCAGGAGAATGGGGCACAAAAAAATAAACTAGAAATAGGTTTTGGGGATCCATCTTTTCCTTAGCCTGCTCTGGGAGATCAATTCAACAGGCATTTGCTGGGCCTGGCCGTGCGTAATTGTGAGCCAGTCGTTCCGTGCGCAGCCCCTACCGATCCCCACTGGGGTCCGCACAGTATAGTGCAGGCAGCCCACCGGCTCCATCTGAGTGCACTCCGAGGTGTGGTGAAGGATGGAGGAAGCGAAGAACCGGAAGTTCTGCACTGCCCGGGGAATGTCCACGGTTCTGGCCAGCGTTATAGTTTTCCCTGGAAGAAATAAAGAATGTAAAGCAAGGCAGATATAGTCCACCAGAGTTAGTAGAGACACTAGGATACACCCATCACCTTCTACCAAACGTTTCCCAACTCTCTCTGAGGTAGCCTTGGTTCCTTCCAGCCTGTGGCAGGCGTTCCTAGATTATGGAAAGAATTGGTCCTAGTTGGATAAAGCTATGAAGTAATTATGTCTAAGGCTAAAAACTAAACTATGGGGTTAAAGATGAGTCCAATAATCTCTGTTTTGTGAACTGAAAAGAATCCATGGCTACCATCATGAATTTCCCAGGTGCAGCCACTTCACCCACACAAGTTCAATTCAAAAGAACTAGGCTTTGCAAATGCCACAAAAGCATTGAAATAATAGGTGTTAAGACAGCTGTATTTGTACATCACACACAAAAAACGTGCTTTTATAAACATGTGATGTTTATTAAATGTCCTCCCACCACAGTGATGAACCGTTAAGATGGGCACGTGGCAGAGGCTGATGTGGCACGGGATGTCGTGGGTGTCACGGGCTCATCCACCCAGATCCATGCAGTCCCTAGCTCCTTGACTGAACACAAAGAGAAACAACAGCTGCCATGGTGTGTTCCTTGGTTATCTTCTGTGATGCAGAGGCACCAGAAAGGAAACATTTTCTTTGAAAGGGCTTGGACTTCCTAACTTTAGATCGGTTTATAGCAAGCAGGTATTTTTAAAAAGATTTTCGCATTTTCTAACAGATACATTACAAAGATTTACATTTACAAAGCTTCATTTACCCTGATCTCTGGAAAGGAGTTTTAAAAAGTTAGGATTAAAATAGGGACTGCTCTTCAGATGAGCTTTGCTTTGCTATTCTCCACTTAGAATAATAGAACCTGTAGCAGACTGCAGTATCAACTCTAGTTCTTAACCTCTCCCCATATCCATGTCCCTTGTCATAGATCTTTTCAGTCCCTCCCACTAAATGGACAAACTATGTAAGGCGACTTCACATTCCTGAAAAAAATTAAATTAATAGATAATGGAATTTGAAGCCCCTTGGCCAAGTCTGAGGGCCCTGGAGGAAGCTGAGAGACACATGGAACAGAGTTCAGCTGCGGTTCCTCACCATGCTCAGACTAGATATCAGCCATCCTTCAGCAAGTCCAGATGTATGAGTTACAATCAGTGATTTTTGTTTTTAGCCAATGAGTTTGGGGAGGATTTGTTAGAGAGCAATGGTTAAGTCCCACAGAACCCAATAGAACGAGACTTCGTGAGCACTGAAGGTACAACCCATGACTGACTCTTGCTCAGAAAATTCTAAGTATTACATTACTGTTAGTGATAATGTCTGCCATTGAATCTACTCCTAGTGACTGTATAGGACCGAGTAGAGCTGTCCCATAGGATTGCCTAGATGGAGCAGTTGGTGAGTTTGTACCACCAACTTTTTGGATGGCGGCCAAACACTAACCACTATACCAGCTGGGGTCCTTGTATGATAGATGTGGGAAAATCTTACAGATAGTCTTGTTTCATAGCTAAGGAATCAGAAAGATGTTGTTTGCTTAAGGTCATTCATAGAAGAACTAAGACTCAAACCAGATCACATTATTACTATCCTAGTGCATTTTCGAAACACTACACAGTTTCTCCTACAGTTCACACAGATAATTTTTCTTGGCCAATAAGGTGGACTCTTACAAGATGGCTTCTTAGGAAACGACTGATATTCTTTGTAAAGATGTTACATTTAAATGCAGATTGTCAAGTGAGTTCCCTGGTGCCCACAGGCCTTGGGAGCTTATCTATCCCAACAGCTGGACTCCAGAGCTCTGAGAAATTTGCATCTATGATAGGACTCTAGATGGTCAGTCCTAAAGGGGCAGCATGTACACACAGCAGGGGAAGAATCCTAACTGGCTGTGGACACTAGCCATGGTACCTAATGTTGCTCTGATCTGCATTTCCTCATCTGGCAAACAAGGGAGATGGGGTACATGGCATTTAAGACCTCTTTTCATCCCTAATATCTGAAGAGCCCATTCTGTCACCGTCCTTATTGGAGCAGTTGTTGTTGTTGTTAAGTGTCATTGAGTAGGTTCCAATGTACAGCAACCCTACATAGCGTTTCCAAGGAGCAGTTGGTGGATTTGAACCACAGGCCTTGTGGTTAGCAGTCTAGTGCTTAACCAACAGTGTCACACTGGGACTTCAGTAGCAGTTGTCGTTGTTGTTAAGTGATGTCAAGTCGGTTCCAACTCACAGCGACCCTGTATAGGGTTTCCAAGGAGCGGCTAATGATATTGAACCACCGACCTTGAGATTTAAAACAACCTTGTAGTCCAGTGCATTAACCGACAGCACCACACCAGGACTCCTCAAACTCGATGCCATCAAAATGGTACCCACTAGAATGTTTGGGATCAAAATCATTTTCTAATTATTCATCTTGGAATTCTGGAATATTCTCCTTACACCAAAAGTTTAAAATACGCTGCCCTATATATATAGCCCAAGCAAATGTTGAAGAAAAGATTGAAGTTATCAAGGATTTCATTTTACTTGGATCTACAATCAATGCCTATGGAAGCAGCAGTCAAGAAATCAAAGGACACATTACACTGAGCAAATCTGGTGCAAAAGACCTCTTGAAAGTGTTAGAAAGCAAAGATATCATCTTACGGACTAAGGTGTGCCTGATCCAAGCCATGTTATTTTCAATCACTTCATATGCATGTGAAACTGGGCAATGAACAAGCCAGACCAAAGAAGACTTGATGCCTTTGAAGTATGGTGTTGGCAAGGACAACTGAATATAACAAAGACTACAGGAAGAACAAACAAATCTGTACAACCAGAATGATCCTCTCATTTACTTTGGACATGTGATCAGGAGGGACCAGTCCCTGGAGAAGGACATCATGCTTGGCAAAGTAGAGGGTCAGCAAAAAAAACAAACAAAACAAAACAGGAAAACCCTCAAGGAAACGGATTGGCACAGTGGCTACAACAAGAGGCTCACACATAACAAGGGTTGTGAGAATGGTGCAGGACCAGGCACAGTTTTAGTCTGTTGTTACAGGATCGCTATGAGGCAGAACCAATGGGAAAGCCCGTAACAACAATAACAATGTATATAACACAGAAGCCCCAGGAGTGCAGACTGGCTGGGAGGCTGCATCCTTTCCTGCTACTAACCATGGTCCTGGTCTTCTAGTGGTCAGCCAGGGAAATTTGATTAACTCAGTTCAGTAAGATGTACAGGATTCTGCGCACTGCTGCCAGGACCCTCAGCCTCCCTGCAGGATGGTGACGGCATTTGGGGAGTCTCCCAACCTGTGTAATGCACACCAAGAAGTAGACCTCCTTCTCCACCTGCATGTGATGAGGCAGAAGTTGTCCTCCAGTGGCACATGGAATGCCATGTGCTAGCAGAAAAGGAGGACAGGGAAGAAAGGCTGAGTCTCAAGAAGGACACCAGTGAAGGGGCCTCTGGAACAGTCTAGAAGCAGGAAATGTGCACCTGAATCCCATCTGTTCTGGTAAGAGAATCATGTGACAAATTAATGGAATGAGGGCACTAATCTTCAGGATCTATGTATTCCATTTTCCATACAATATTTAGTAAGACATTTGTACTCAAACTGTTTCTGCTCAAGAGAAAGAGAGAGACAGAGCAAGCACATGTGTGCGTGTATGTGTGTGTGTGTGTGTGTGTGACAGACGAGCCCAGGCCTGAACATCTTTCAGAACAAGCGGAGCTCAGCTCACCTTGGTCTTTGGCCTCTGCCTGGGCGAACTCCTCCAGGGATTCCTCCAGCAAATCTGCCAGCTGGGTCAGGACCTGCGAGCGCTCCTGGGGGCTCCGGGCTGACCAGCCGGGAAAGGCATCTCTGGCTGCCTCAACCGCAGCTTCGATCTTTGAGGAACAAATCCACAAGTCCAAACATGACTCATTTTTCCCAACATTATTTCAAATACGTGCCATTCCCAGGGCTGAGTTCTCCACAAAGCAGAAGACACAGGTATTGATATGACCAGCATATCCGGGCACCCCCCCACCCCACACACAAAACAAAGAAAAATGCCCCATTTCAACCAGCGTGTCCCCAATGTGGCAAGCAGATCATCAGAAAGAAGTCATTTTAGTTGTAACGATCATTTAAAACAATAGAACTTTACTGTGATGCTTGTCTCAGAGAAAGAACTAGGTGAGTAGAATTTCTAAAGCACTTACCACACCACTGACATATCTGATGAAGTCTAAAAGTTTGTGTAAAACCACATCCTTGGACTCTCATTCCCACTTAGAATAACTATCGTTATTAGTCATTTAATGATTTCACAACTAAGGGATAGATTAATTTTACATAAATTAGTTTCTCTGGTAGCATAGTGGTTATGAATCTGGCTGTTAACTTCAAGGTCAACAGTTTGAAACTACCAGCTGTTCCATGGGAGAAAGATAAGGCTTTCTGCTCCCATAAAGGTTTACAGCCTCAGAAACCTAAGACAGGGTCACTATGAGTCAGAACCAACTCCACAGCACATAACCACCACCATCAGCCCTTTTAAAATTCTGTACCATTAGCATTGATATGCCCATTTTACAGATGAGAAAATTGAGGCAGGGAAAGCTCAAGTAACTTACAGAGGTCACATAGCTAATATCTGGCAGAATCAGAATTTGAACCAGGATCTCTCTGGCTCCCAAGACCACAAGCTGACCTGCTGTGGCATAACTGGAGCCCCCACCCCCCTGCCTGGCTCTGCCCAGTGTTAGCAGTCGCTGCCAGAGAGGAAGGTGCTGGAGTTGGGCAGACCACAAAACTAAAAAGGTATGGACAGATTAGCTCATGGAAAAATGTGATGCAGGCAAAATCAATTTTCAAGTTTCTACTCAGACAATTTCTAAACAGTGCCTTTCCCAGAGAAGATAGCAAATCCTTAGCCTCCCACAAGCTTGGCAAACATGAATAATCACAGCTCTTTGCCACCACTGGCCCAGGCTCAGCCTAGGGATTCTTCCACTGCCTTGAGGCAGCCTCAGGCATGATTCTTGCATCATGTGATCTGTCCACAACTCAGCCCTCTGAACCTAGGCTACCTCTCACCACTACGCTACCAGAGCGGTTACGAATCGGGCTGTGAATCTTAAGGTCAGCAGTTCGAAACTACCAGTGGTTCCGC